TTAGCATTGATATAGCATCATTAAAGCATCGTTTCAGTATTGTTGTATCAGGGAAATTGAATATGACCTATATCTCATCCATCATCTTAATACCTTTAAATTTAGCTTACTGTTTTCTTAGTTTAATTATCTTTTATATTACAAACTCAACCATAAAAATTAATCATTTTCTAGTTTCTTTACTTAAATAATCATTGTTTTATAAATCATCTCCGTGGGAATGATACTTGGACTCACACATCCCTTTATCACTTGTGGCACATGCACTTGCGTATTTGTATGATTGATTTAATTGATTGCAAATTGCACAACAAGTACCATCATTAAATGGTCATATTTTTCCTTCCATGTGGAGATCTAATGCTATCCAAGAAGACTTTTCTTAAGCCTAAGATTAACTATTGAGGAAAGGGATGGTTGATTGTTGAGCAAAGGGATTCGAATTCCTCCCTTTCCTTATGATCATTTGTTCTTATGCTTCTCATTTGGTATTGATCATTTAAGAGTAAATAAGTATCATCTCAATATTTCTCACTACTTTGTTTATAGTTTTAAAGTTTAGTGAGTTGAGTGAGATTCTTCATACGCATTTTCAATTAAGCAACTTAGTTTCTTATGTCTTGTATTTTTTTCATATTGACTTTTCTATGCATTCTTGAAATTTTCTTGATATTGTAATCAAGAAATCTCACTTTCATATTACTTTTAAACTTACAATGATGTCTTTGTAAGACTTCAAACTTTTTGAGTATGTTTATATCTTTTAGACTTAATAAAATAACTAGTCTTCTTGATCAACTTTTCTCGAGTTAATGTTAAGTTTCTTATCCTTTTTGGTGATTATCAAGTCATGTCTTGTTTTTTGTTCATTATAGTCTAAAAAATTGTTTGGAATGTGACTTTCGTATTCAAATTGGGGGATGAATTGGATATGACAACATTTTTGGCAAATACCCCCTTCTTGTTACTAAATTATTATTTTATCCAAACTTTGATATATGACAAGATTATCAATATATTTAAGAAACCTATAGTACACAATCTACCACAATGATATAATCAATATTAGCACATATTATATATAAAAATGCAATTAAAGGGTTAGAAATAAAGAGTATGGATTTAAAAGATGCCTAAGGTCATCAACAAGTAAAACATTATCTATAGAGATGGAAGAGGAGTTACCAACTTTTTCAATATCAAGGATCTTTCCTTTGTTGTTGTCACCATAGGAAACATATTCATGCTCTTTCCTTGTGAATGATTGAAAATTGGTTACATCTCCCGTCATGTGACTTGGACGACCACTATCCAAGTATCACTTGGAGCTTTTGGCCTTAAAAAAATCTAGACCACATGATCAAGATTTAATTTTTGGTACCCAAACCTTGTTGGGTCCTTGTGTGTTAGTCTTGGGTATAATTCCTTTAGGAACCCACATTTTTTTGCCCAATAATGTGTTCTTTCTAATTTTACATATAGATGCACTACGACCTTTTTCCCCACAATGAAAGCATTTAATGAATTAACTACTTGTCATGTAGGATAGAGAAATGAAAAAGTTCTTATATGATTTTTCTTGTGTGCTCATGTCAAAACCCAAACTGGATTTGTTGAACATACATCTTTGTTTACTAAGCAACACATTTAAGTTATCTTTACCACATGTGAATTTGCTTAAATTATTGTTCAAATCATCAATCTCATTCTTTAGTTTTTTACAGGATGTGTATAATGATGAGGATGCATGATCATTTGAAGATAAACATTTGATACAACCTACACTAGCATCAAGCAACTTAAGAGTTTGATTTTTATCTTTTAATTCTTTCACTTCCTTATCTAATGATGCAATTTTTTTTTCTAAGGAAGCAATAGTCTTTCTTGATGCTCTAGGAGATTTAACATGTTCTAATGGTTCATTATGCATTTCTTCAAACATCTTAGACAATTCATCATATGAAGGGGAAATAGTGGAGCAAGATGTAATAATTAAATCATGATTAGTGTAAGTCTTTATCTAGAGCATTCAAATGTGTAATGAGGTGTGTGAATCTCTTTTGTGTACTTTGAATACTTTCATTTTCATTTATCTCAAATAATTCAGATTCTCTAGTGAGTGCATTACCGTTAGTGGGTTTAACATAACTAGTTCCTCCATGTGTTACTTGAAGAGTGTCCCACATTTTCTTAGCATTCTTACAAGAGGAAACACAAAAATACTCATCTCTACCTAATGCATTTGTAATCAAGTTTCTAGCCTTACCATTCTAATTTTCTTATTTAATTTCTCTTGGAAAATTCATTTACTTTCTTTGAAATATCATTATAGTTTTCATCCTTTTTGGTGGAAATTTTGTATCCCTCTTCAACAATGTTCTAATTCTTAAATCATTAGACTCAAGAAATATTTGCATCCGATTTTTCCAATAAGTATAATCGGTGCCACTAAAAAATTGAGGTCTTGTAGTTTAAGAACCCTCAAGGGGCATATCATGGTTCAAAGAAGTCATCCCTTCTCTTGAAGCAGTTAAGCTCTTTACACAAGAGTTCAAGCTTTGATACCATTTTCTAGACAAGTGGCTTCAATACTCAAGAGGGGGGTGAATTGAGTTTTAAAAAATCTTTTCACAAGATATCTCCTTTGATAATTTAAAGAATCTTTCTTTAATTAAATGATTTAACAAGGAAAATTCTGAGCATAGGTACTAGTGTGTGATTGATAAATATAAGTTAATGAACAATTAAACACAATCTAATAATGCAATTTTAAGATAAAAGTAAAGAGTTAAAGGTTAGAGAAATTGCAAAGAAGATGTATCCTGGTTCGGTCACCACAACTGTTACCTATGTCTAGACTGAAGCCGCTTGATCAATCTTTCACTAACTATCAAGCATAAGGGTGCTTGACAAACCACTACAATTTTTCAAGACTTTCGGGCTCTTGGCTGTCTTTACACTTCACTTCAAATTTGTTAAGGTATTTGGTAACCTCTCAAGTTCAAAGGGTTCACTCCCCTCTCTATTTAAGAAATCAAATGGAAGTGTTTAACAATGACTAAGTATTCTCAAAGTACAAATTATACAAGTTGAAGAATTAATAGGTGTATAGCTTTAAACAATAGAAATGAGCTCAAGTATATTATGATGGTCAAAGTATGTAATCAATGAGCAAGAATGAGTGATAATGGCTCAATAAATGATATATTTTCGTCCAACCACCATTTCAATAGTTATAAGTGTATTTATAGACCCCCTCCAATAAAAACTAGTCGTTAGTCGCCTTTTTGGAAAGTGTATACCCGAGTAAATTTCAAAGCTTGCCTGAGTAAATTGTTCATGAGTATTTCTTCGAGTAAATCCCCTGTTTTACTCGGGTAAATTATTTACCCGTGTAAATTTTTTGATTTCCTCAAGTAAACCAGTCAAATGACATAAAAATGTGTAATTCACTTCCTTTCAATTCCAAACCAATTTTAACATACTGGACATATGTAATTGGACTTGGGGAAGGTGTTTGTGGATTCAAAACACTTGAAAGCAGTCTTTATCCAATTTTGAGGGATCAAATCATAAAAACGTGCTTTCTTTCTCTATGCAATGTCAAAATCCTATTTCCTTAGATGATTCCAATAATGTGAGAACATATAATTGGACTATGTAGATGTGTTTGTGTGCTCAGTCATGTCAAGGACCTTCCAATGTAGTTTTTCCCTATTGAACTACGCTTTTTATGTTTTTTTATTATGCAATGATATGAATGACTTAAGCTTATGCAATGCTATCTACGTTACACCTTTACATATATGTTATAAATCCTAAATATATATTCTAATGTGATCTTAGACTTAGCTTTATGCTTTGAGACTTGATCCTTAGTTTTGCCATTTGACTCCTTGTCCTTTGCATTGCTTTCACATACATTTGAATTCTTTTTAATGTTGTTTCTTTAGCTCTTGAGAGACTTAGGTTTGTTATCATCAAAACTTATGTTGTCATGACATCATCAATTGTATAATCAATGAATGCATTGTATCCACATCATCACCTTGATTCCATAATTTTGACCCAATTTTAAATTCGTGTCATGTTTATATTGAATACATTCATCGTGGCACCTCTCAGCACATGAAGGCATAGTTTACACATGAGTGATGATTTGGCTAATTTGCTTTAACAACTCAAATTATTTAAAATTAATAAAACTGCGCCTTTAAAGCACCTGCTGTAAAGTGTTAAATGAAAGATAAAATATTTAATAAAATATTACATTTTAATATTATTTTATTTCATTCTTTAAATACTTAAAAAGTCTTTGTAATTATAAAAAGAAAAAAAGAAACATCTCTGAGCATGTTCTTCTAATCATGTCATAAAATATTATAGGTATTAATTTTTAATAAAATAGCAAAACTACTCAGTAATATATACTTTTCAAGTGACAAGTTAACAAACTCTCTGATTTGTCTAACTAAAACCTCCATCTGCATTTTGATATAGAGAAGATATCAACATCATATATAGATTTAAAATTAAAGCTTAACTGTTCTAGCTTCATACAATCATTTAATTATTCATATAGCAATTTGATCAAATTCAACTTCAATGTGTTCAAAACACCAATGATATACAAAAATCTTAAAAACAATGATGTGCCATCTACTCTCTGCATTTGCCATTACTAGCTAATATTATCTTTTGAACGGAAACATAAAACAAATCCTAATTTTGGTTCCTACAAAGGTCAACTTGCATCAACCACCAACACAAGACACAAATGACAAGAGTTATGCTGACATGGGAGTTAAAACGGTCAAAAGATCCTGCTATAACTTTACTATCCTTAAATTATGATTCTATATAACCAATAAGCACTGTACATCTAGAACTTTGATTAAGACAATATAAAAACGACTTTTCCAATTAGAATCAATGAAGAGGTTGCAACACTAGCATAGGGAGCATTGAATCATTGTTCAAATTTCCAATCAAGGGTTCTGATTCTGAGTAGTCTTTATTATACCCTGTCATGATTTTCAAAACTGTTTTTTCTTTTTCTTTTTCTTTCAATGATATATAGAAGGTTCTTAATATTTCAGTTCTTATAGGGTAAATCAAAATCACCATGCAGAGGTGGAAGTGGAGCAGGAAAAAAGCCCCCATTTTTCCTCTGCTTGTGTTTTTCTTACTGGTCTTCATAGCAGTCTCAACCCTTCACAGTGGACACACCATACAACGAATCCATGAAAACCCAGATCATGTTCACAATCATCAAGAAGCTTCTTCAGCCACCTATGTCAAACCCAACCTTTCTGGTCACCTCAAGCGAGCTCCAGGTATGGCTGTTCTTCACAACTTGTTTTTTTTATGCTTCATTGAAAAACTGTAAACTTTATGGGTTTATGGTCAAATTTTAATCTGAGTATTTGATTTGTGCTTTCTCTTGGACTTGTTGAAATGGGTTTATTGGATTTTAGAGGTTTTGGATAGATTCAGTAGATGCAACTCCACGGTAGAGTATAGTGGCCGGAAAATCTCTCGGCTTGGCGGTTCTCGGCGTTTCAGTCACCGGAGAGTGAGCCCTGAAAGCTGTGATGTTTTCTCGGGAAAATGGGTCTTTGATAATGCTTCATATCCACTGTACAATGAGTCTGATTGCCCTTATATGTCTGACCAATTGGCATGTCACAAGCATGGACGTTCTGATTTGGGGTACCAGCATTGGAGATGGCAACCACATAACTGCAATTTGAAGAGGTGTTTTTCTTTCTGAGCTTTGTTTTTCATGTGAGCATGCATAGTCAGGTTATGGTTTTGTCGGTGGCATGAGTTGGAATGACCCAATTCAAAGTTTTAAGGATATCATTATTTTGTGAAGTTGATGTTTAACCAAGGAAAGGGAAATTTGGCACACTGTTGGTGTTAATGCCATGTGACCCCAAGATAACAAGTTCGATTCATGTAATCAGCCTCTTGTAGATCCACAGAATGGTTCTCACCCTTCTCTGGACCCTAAGCATAGCAAAAGCTTTAAAGCACCATGTTGCCCTTTTTTTAATGCATAACCAAGATTGAGTTTTGTAGAGTTCCAAGTAGAATAACATTTGTTCAATTGTTCCTGTGGAATTGGAGTTGCAAAAGTTAAAAATTTTCTGCTGCCTTAAAGCAGCATCAGAAATGGGTTGTAGAAATGGTAATTATTTTTGTGATTGAGTAGGTTCTTTTTGCTAGGTTTCACTGGTTTCTTGTCTAAAACAGGTGGAATGTGAAAGAAATGTGGGAGAAGTTGAGAGGTAAAAGGCTAATGTTTGTTGGAGATTCACTAAACAGAGGGCAATGGATATCTATGGTATGCTTGTTGCAATCAGTAATTCCAGCTGATAAGAGATCAATGTCACCAAATGCCCATCTTACCATTTTCAGAGCAGAGGTAAGAACCCTATGCTGGAAACTTCTATATGATGTTTTTTGAATGTAGTTTCCTATACCATATATGCCTTCTTCTATTATTCCACTGTATTTCTCAATACTAAGATATTAGGTTTATGGGGTTTATGTCTGGAGGTCTCATTACCTGCATACTGCTTTTTTTGTTTCAATTTTCAGGAGTACAATGCAACTGTGGAATTCCTCTGGGCTCCTCTACTTGTTGAATCTAATTCTGATGATCCTGTAAATCACAGATTAGATGAACGGATAATTCGTCCTGATTCAGTTCTTAAGCATGCAGCAAAGTGGAAGCATGCTGATATACTAGTTTTTAACACATACTTGTGGTGGAGACAAGGCCCAGTGAAGCTATTGTATGTGTCAGTTCTTCTATATACAAATGGATTTTTAAGGGAAATTTGTCTACTCTATTCTGATTGGATCTTGAAATTTGTACTTTTGCAGATGGACTGCTGAAGAAAATGGAGCTTGTGAAGAATTAGAAGGGCAAGAAGCCATGGAGTTGGCCATGGAAGCCTGGGCAGATTGGGTATCTTCTAAAGTTGATCCCCTCAAGAAGCGTGTCTTTTTTGTGACCATGTCCCCAACGCATCTCTGGTGAGCACCAAATCTATATTTTGTATGGTCCTCTGTTAGAATGAAATATTTGTGCTAGTATGCATTCTTGGACATTATGCTAATTTTTTATTGAAATGACATGTTAGCTAAGGGGGAAAGATTTTTTTTTTTATGGCTGGTCTAGATCATTGTTTGTTGTGCATTCTTAGAACTTGTGGGAGAATTAAGTTAATGATTATGGTTCATCTTATATGTTTCTTTTCATTTGGATAATCTAATGCAGAGTCCATGTTATTGTATGTTCTAAGTAGAGTTTTAATTCCCTGGCTCCTGCTCCCCCAACATGCACTTCTGTCAAAATTGGCAATAAAAAAAAAATCTTACTATTTCTGGTTTGTATTTAGATTTCCTTTTGAAATTTCTCTTTTGACTCATGTAGTATGCATTATGGTGTGTTAAAGTATATTAGCACTGGGTTAGTTCAATTGGTAAGAATCAAAGAACTTGGCAAAAGCATTGGTTTGATTCCTGTTGTCAGCAATTTCCCTTAGTAAATGATATTAAAGAGTACTGTAAGCCCTTTCAGAGGCCTGCCTGCCTTATGTCCTAGCTCTGGAATGGGATAGTCTACCTTCCCCTTAAACATTTGACTTGTTTTTGGAGATATGAACATTGCTTTCGCAATTTCAACCTGGGTATGGTGAAGATCAAATGTCTCCCCAAGGATGCTTCTCTAAGGATCGAACTTTCAACCTTGGGGGTTAAACATTTAACTTTAATCCACCCAAAGAGAATTTATATTAGCTCCCTCTTAGAAGTGGAACCTGCCTTTACTGTATGAAGGGCACCTAATTATTGATGAGGCGGGGCAAAAGGAGTTTTAGACGCCACTTGGGCCATTGGCCTAGTGATCATGGTGTGTGCACTAAGTGCCCCCTCCCCCCTGCTGGTATGAAACAGGTTCAACATTCCTCTTTCCCCTTGTTAGTTCCCAATATGGGGCCTCCAACATTACATACCCCAAAAAAAATAATTAGACTTTTACTGAAGTTGTTTATTTAATATAATACAATATGAAGTGGCAATACCAATTATAACAATCTGCATACCAATGCGAATACATGAGAGGTATAATGCATGTTGTTGGGCTTCCTCCTTCAATACTAAGTCCAAGCCCATTTGAGGGGTTTCCTAAAAACCCTAACCCTAATTTTCACCTCCTCTATATATACTCATTAGTTGTGGGTGGAGGCTAGGTCAGATTTGAGAGAACAAATTTGAGAGAATTATTTGATTGTTTGAGTAAAGCTTTATGCTTTGCATTTGAGAGATCTCTAGAGAGAGTTTGAGTGAAACATCTCTAGGGTAGTTTGATTATTACCATTGCTGGAGAGGTTGAGTTAACCACCACATTGGTGTATTTGATTCGTTGTAACCATTATTTTCATAGTGGATTTTTAATCTGGACTAGGTCCCGTGGGGTTTTACTTCTTAATTCAAGAAGGTTTTCCCACGTTAAATCTGGTTGTGTTCTTCTTCTCTCTCTCCTGTGTTTACGTTTTGATTTTTCCGCTGCGCTGCCTGACCTGGTGAAGTTCAGGTTGAGGTATTGCCGAGATCCAAGATCAGGATCTTGTTGATTGACTTCCGCACAAAGGCCCCTGAGCTGAGCTTGAGGGAACCGAGTTTTCCCAACACATGTGACACAAAAACTTGTTGGCGAGTGATGCAGTAATAGAGTTGAATAAAAAGAAGTGTTATAAAGTCACTGGTACTGGTCTAGTGGTGAGGGGTTTGAGTAGTTTTGCATTAGGTCGTGGGTTTATACTTCAATGTTACCATTGTATTAAAAAAAAAAGTGTTATAAAGTTCCCAAAAGTTTCTCATCCAAATGACATTCTCATATCATGATTGTCATAGCTGCTCTATGCATCTTAACATCAATTTAGGGAATCAAAATTTCCCATGCTCTATCTATATTTTCTCACTGAATTGAACACTATTCTCATTCAGGAGCAGAGAGTGGAAACCAGAAAGTGAGGGAAACTGTTATGGGGAGAAGGACCCCATTGATTTTGAGGGCTATTGGGGAAGTGGTTCTGATTTGCCTACTATGAGCATTGTGGAGAACATCCTAAGCAGTTTAAGTTCAAAAGTTTCTGTCATCAACATTACTCAACTGTCAGAGTACAGAAAAGACGGCCATCCATCCATTTTTCGCAAATTCTGGGAGCCCCTTCGACCTGAACAATTGTCAAATCCTCCATCTTACTCTGATTGCATACATTGGTGCTTGCCAGGGGTACCTGATGTGTGGAATGAGTTACTGTTCCATTTTTTGTAAAAGCCATCACAATTTTTTCAATTTTCTTTATCAGATATGGTAACCAACCACTGCATTTTGGAGAGTAGCAAAAAACTGCTGCTATTAGTTGTTCGGACACAAGGGTGGACTGCTTTTGACAAGTGAATGGAATCTGCTGAAAATTAAGAGATCTTAATGCTCATGTGCCATGTTAAAACATAACTTCATATAGAAAAGAGAAGAAAAAAAAGGGAGGTGTTTCATCTCTTTTTGCATATTCATATGAAGTGATTTTCATATGATTTTCTTTGGTGTTTGGGTAACTATGCAGAAGTTATACAATGCATGCATGCTTTGTCTTGTCTCACAAGATCAGGTTCCGGGAACTTTCAGCACGGTCCTAGTGTCAGTTTGACGAGTTTTTTCTTCAGCTTTCCATCTAAAAAGGAGAAACTCTATAAAACATATTTTTATAGAAGCTGTTATGATAAAAGATTTTTTTTTAAATGAATAAAAAAAGATGGTAGAAACTCCTTATAGGGTCATTTTTAATATGTATTTGTCTTTTTTGGAATACTCATATTAATTTTTTAATTATGTCTTTCTTTAATCCAAAACAATGAAAACATCAATGGTAGAATCATGTGTGTTAGTGTAATTTGATGTACCCAAATTTTTTTGAATAAATTTTTTTTTATGAAGCTTTCTAATAAAAAAATTTATATTTATTCTTGAATTTATTTATTTTATTTAAAATCGTTATCTTTTATTTATTTAAAACATATTTCTAATATATTGAACACATTGTTGGTACTTGGTACTAATTATGCACGCCCGAAACAAATGCAAAACTCAAGGTTGATTAACCATTTAGTCCATTTTTTAAATATAAAATAATCAAATTGTCCTCTTTTTTATGTTATATATTAATTTATTTCATTTTTAAAATTATATATCAGTCTACCCTGTTTACCTACTTTTGTTGATGTTTATATTATTCACTCTGTAATCTCTTTTGGGGAGCGACGGGAGAGAAATAAGAATATTTAGTCAGATTCACGGTATTCTTTTTCGTATTTCGGTGGTCTTTTTGGTTAGAAATGCTTCATTAGTTATCTTGTATAGATGGAACTCTAATTGCAGCGCAACCCTTGAGTTTATGGCCAAGGAAGAAACTGATGAAATTTTCTCGAATAAATCTTCTTATTTACTCGAAAAAATAATTTATTCGAGTAATTAGAGTAAACGGTTTAATTTTAGTAAAACAGAGGTAGATTGACAAATAATTTAAAAAAGATGACATGATAATTTCTTTTTTTTTTTTAAATATTCAATTCGGGTGGATTGTGAATATACACTTAAAGAGTTTAATTATATATAGGATCAATACATTCACGGATATTTATGACGTTGTGTATACACAATTATGCCAAAAGTAAAATAGGTTTCAAAATATGTATATGAAGTTTTTAACCTTTATTTATAATATTTACCTTTTGGATATGAGGCTTGAATATCTCTAAGTCATTAGCTAGTTGATATAACTCTTGGGATAGGAATCTTATTATTCCTTCATCCTCTAGTAATTATGCTGTTAACATAGAAACATATTCTTATTATCAAATTTTTCTACTATCAATTTACTACATATCTAATCACCATTGGATCAAAGAGAGAGAATGCTGAAAAGTTTATGGAGAATAAATACTAATCCAAAAATGATTAGATAGGTAATAAGTTAATAGTAAAAAAATTTGATAGTGAAAATATCCATCCTCGTTAAGATATACTTTTTTTTTTTTTTTGATAAAAATGGAAGGCGAAGCATCCAGAAGATATACCTCTTAACCTTCTATTGAATGTGTTGTCGAGATAGAGATCTACTCCATAACAAAAAACGAATAAATTCCATCACAGTTTACTTTTTTAGAATAATTTTATTTCGTTCGCTCTAATTATCTCTGTTCATTTTCTCATTCCTTGCGCTTTTTCTCCGTGTATGAACTCATGCTCAGTAAAATGCCAAGGTCCATTGTAGGAGATCAATTTAGGAGTAGGTTTGTGAAAACTTTCAAACTTGTCTTTAAGAAAATATCATACGCAACCTGAACAGACAGAACGATCAGCAAGGACAAAAGTTGTGGCACCCACTATAATAAAACGTTGGAGCTACAAACAAACCTCGAGAAGAAGATAATGAGTAAAAAGAAAAAAAGAAACAGCACAACAGCGTTGAAGAACAAACAAAAGTGCTATAATTTAGGAACCAATATAAAAAAAAAAAAAAAAAACTATGTAGAAAAAGGATATTATTATTAGCATAATTATAATTTTATTAAAAACAATATTTATTTCTTTTTCTATCGTTGTCTTTCCTCTGAATGAGCTATTTTGAGAATAATTAGGAGTGTAAATAAATCATATAATCTATCACAAGCTTGGAGTTTAAACTACATCACAATAAACTTAGTCTAATAAGTTTAGTAAAATAGAACAAATACAAATCTAAAAAACAATTATTTAACAAATAGGCCATAGACATATTTTTTTTTTAAATTTGCTATATCATATTATTTATTTTAAATAAAATAAAATAATTATTTAAATAATATTATTTTAATTATTATTATTTTTCTAAATATTTAAACCTAGAAGCTTTGATAGGTTAATAGGCGAGACTAAATTTTTTATTTTTTAGTTATATACTATGTCAGACATATAATTTAGCTTACGTTAAATTAATAGGTTAGATTATACTCAAAATATTCTACATAAGAGTAATTTATTTAGACCAAAATCTAATCTAATCTATTTATACGGAGTAACAACAATTTGCAATTAGCATAAGTAATATTATTAGCCTAACTGTTCCATTTTCTTCATAATAGACTGGACTATAGATATTTACGATACTATATTCTATATATCCTACCCTAAGTCTTTTTTTCTAATTAAAGAGTTATTGTTTCCTATTTTGTAGAAAACAATCTAAAACAAAAATTTTCAAAATCTTAATGATAAACATTTTACTAATCTGGAAACTTATTTGCAATTTGATAGGAAAAGAGGACACAAAAGTGGTCAATGGTTAAGGAAATGGTGTCTTGACAAGTGATTTTACTTGGAAATTCATGACTTGGGAGTGAGGGATAGTCAAATTAAAAATTGTGACGGGTGGGGTTGCAGGGTGCTTGATCCGGATCTCGCGTTGGTTGCATTACTCAGATCAAGACAATATCGCATTAAAATACTCCCACTAAAGATATGTGGGGCCCTATTCCCTTACTATGATTCTCATGCTGATAGTGATGATCCCATTTATACGGATAAGGTGACAGATATTAGATCCTTGCTTTGACTTTATCATTTTGATGATGACTTTTCCTTCTGCGTACAGTGTTATGTGTTTGCTACAGAATAGAATTTGGAGCATAGAAATCAGAAGATACCACACATCACCATTTGGGCCATGTCTGCAATATACGATTCTACATTTATATGATGAGATGCAATACTCCGCAAATAGATTTTCATAGATTATTATAACTATATCTTACTGATAAGATATACAATAAGATATCGTGGTAATATTAAAGTTATTTTTTTTAAAATTATGTTTGATAGGATATTGTGACAACCAAATAATGATACTACTACATCTTAACCGTTGATTTCCGTCAATCAACGGTTATCATTTATTGCGAATTAATAATTAATTAATGAGTTTGATTTGAAAAATGATAACCGTTGATTGGCGGAAATCAACAGTTAAGATATGATAGTAACATTGGTAGTAACATTATTTGGTTGTCACAATATCTTATCCCATGTTTTAAATATAGTTGCAATTGGTTACTGTAAAATATTTTCCTTTACAGCAACATGAAAAATGATTTTGCCTTAATTTAATCATTTACTTTCTATTGATTATCATTTTATTTACATATCTCTATAAAGTCATTAAAATAAAAATATTTCATACAATAAACTGTTGCTTTTCCTTTATGATATGTTTGGATGGAAGGTTTTGAAGAACAAAAATAAGAGAAAGTAAAGTTTTTTATTTTTGAATTAAGAGCGTTATATAATACTATAAAAAATAAACAAGCGACGGTTGAAGTGTTCCTGATAATATATCATTGTTAATATTTACTTCAAAAAATATCTTTATTTTCCTTTTCCTCTAAAATCCAAGGTCCCAAACATACCTTTAGGAAAATGTTTAGTTCAAATAAAGAAAAAAAAGGGAAGGGGGTAAAATTTCTTTTTGTTTGAGCGTTTTATTAAAGGAAAAAATATTTATCCTTTTAAAGGATATAATTTTGTATCATTTTAGATTCTAACTGTTCATTTTCATTAATCAATAGTTATAATTTATTGGCTCAAACTTATTAATTAATTAGTAATTCGCAATAAATTATAATCATTGATTGATGGATATCAACGGTTAGGATCGAAAATAAAACAAAGTTATATCCTTTAAAAGAACAAATACTTTTCTCTTTATTAAATATAAAAAATAAAATAAAAAATCACCCAGTAAAATAGTAAATCATTATTTAGTTTCTTTTTCTCTTTGATTATATTATGCAACCAGTGAAGCTCATGGCAGGATATCATCGTTTCATTGATGTGTTAAGCATTTATCATAATAAATGGATTTCACGTTACATCTTAACTTAAAATATTTTTACTTATATAATCTTTACCCGGCCCAACCAAATTTGCTTCTAATACCATTATTAGTGACATGGGGAGCTTTGTGGGAATTTGCATTTTGTATGTTAGATTATTTGAATGTGACGCTACAATTTGTTGATATACATCTTTGTATAGGTATCAAATATCAATATCATGTTCAATACATTGAATTTTGTTCTATTTTTTCAGTAGAAAACCTGAAAGTGAAATTGTTCTCAAAGAGACAAATCGCACTCTTACGTGTAACTTTGAAGCTCTTCAAATCACTTAATCAACAATCATTTGTTTTCATCGTCTTCATCGCTTATAAACATGGAAGCTAGAACAAAGCCTATAAATCTGTAAGTCCATATTGACTTTTGTGTATATTACAACATGTGCTTAGGTTGATTATTAGTTGGTGATTACTTAATTAGTTAATAATTAGTTAAATGATTATGACTGATTAAATGATTAGTTGTGTTTTTGCTAATATATAAGATACATATTGTTAAGTGTATA